CTTTTCTATGAGATCACTGCTTCATCTGGACTGCTACCACCACCCTAACTACAGAGTGTCAGGTTGTATTCTGACTCTGTGTTTTTTTCTTTGTATTATTGCATTTATTTTTATTTTTCCTATTAAATTGTATTTCTGACTTGGAGTCTCTCACTGGTTTGCTTTCAAACCATTACAAGATTAACTTTCAGAGGCCACATGTTAGGTGGATCCATCCCCTGTGCGCCCAGCGCTGCAAAACACAAATACCTGCTGCTCAAAGATACATTGTCTCTGAGCAGGTATCTTGCCCAGGTTTTAAGACTTCACTTTAGAAAGTGAAGGAAAAAAAAAAAAACACAACTGTTTTGGACTATACTTAAGTCAGTTGAGCTGTGAATTTCTTTTTTTCAACTTTTCTTCAAAGGCTTGACAGAGTTAAGAATGGTGACAGAGAAGCAAAGCACTGCCTTGCCTGCACACCCCCCTCACCTCTCCTGAGGGATCTGAGGAGCAACCCTGCTCTGCCTTGAAAAACAGAAACCTCAGGTGAAAAGGCAGGCTGTTGAAAGGGGAGTTTCAGTCCCTGTTTCAGCAAAGCCTAAGTGAGATCAGATGAAGTCAGGTCAGCTGGAGATTCCTGTGAGATGAAGTTTCTATCCAAATTAGGTAAAAGGCATCAGCAGGTAGTCCCATGTCCTGTACAGAGCCTCAGTAGAAGTTCACCTTCACAATTCCTTTATGGCCTCCTTGAAAGCACGTGTCAAGGGTCTCCTGTCAGCAGTAGTGTGTCTAAACATCAAAGTACTTCCACAGATGTGTTCCTGGTCTTGTACAAGTAATCCTCAATATTAGTTGTGTGCATTAGTTGCACTTCTTCAAAAGGATGTTAGGCCAAAAGCAAGCAAGGGGGTAGCAGTGGGGCTGTTTCTTGGTTTGGGCTAAAGTAGTTTCTTAGTTTTTCTAAAACCAGTTACATTTCTTTAGGCACTTATGCCTCAAAAATCTGTTCTATATGTTGGACCACAGGCCAACCAAGAGGATGATGCATGTTCATAGATGTTAAGCATTATCCAAACCACCCAGTGATTTCTCAATGGAGAAACCTGAAGCCAGAGATCAAGAAAAGAAACAAAACATTGGTTACAACTCTCTAGACCTGGACAAAACCAGCAAGTCTCTTTTCCTCATTAGAAACCAACAGACTACAATTAACTCTGAATACCCAAATCTGCAAAGTTACTACAAACCTCTGAAGCCACATTAAAAGCTTAGGTGAACAAGGCGTATGAAGATATGATGTTAGCATTATTGCCACAAAATAAAACATGCTGGTACCAGTCACCCCTCTTACCTTTTTGAGGCCTGGAAAGAGAGTCCCTGGTTCCAGCTCAAACCTTCTGTCCATTTCAGTTTCATACTCTGCAGAGAAGAGGAAGCCTTTGCTTAAGGACACAGCAGCCAGAGCAGGAAGTCAGGGATGTGGCCTCTGCAGCTCTGTAATGTCCCCACATTACACCCCTTGGAGCCAGGTAAGGGCACATCAACTCATCACTGCTCAGCAGGCAAGCTGCCCAGTCAGGCCACGCAGGGGAAAGGCAAGCCACTGAATTGCCCAGAACCTGCACTTTGACTCTTGCCACAGAGGTAGCAGCAGAGAGCAACCAACCTTTTACCACACAAGACCTGCACTAATCCTCATTTCCCTACCTCAGGGCTGCCTGGCTTCTCCCACCAGAGCAGAAGGGACTTGACAGTGACCAGTACAGCCAAAGCAGGCCAAAGCTGCTCCGAGAAACCACCTCCAGAGCCTATTCCCACTCAGCCTTTTCTCATCCCCACGTAAGATGTGCTGTACACATGGCTGCACAGCCCTGTGCCCATTTACCCAGCACTTCCTCCACTACCCTGGTAGTGCCTCTCTGACCTCTTCTGAAAGCCACCTGGGGTCATTAATGTAGAAAATCTTGCTGATTAAAGCCTAACACAATACAATACATATTCCCCTAATGAGCCTCTACAGCTAGCTACACTTTTATTAGATAATACCACCTTCATTTCCCTTAAAATACTCATGTGCTAGAACACAGCTTTTTTTCCATCTACACACTGTGTTTAAATGGTTTAAAGCCCCATGCCTTACTACACAGCCCCAATGAACCAAAACCAAGCAGCAAAGATGTTACACAAGGCACAGGCAGGGCTTTGGAAACAAACTGACCCCAAACCTGCACACCCATCGCTCTGAGCCCACAGCCCAGCACAGGAGCCCCAGGTAGTGCAGCACCCCAGGTGGGGTCATGTGCCCCACAGGGGCCTCCCCATGTTCAGTGCTCAGCGAGCATCATCATGTGGCACAGCTGCTGCTGAAACACCGACCTCCGAGAGGCTGCAAGTGACTAGCCAGGAAAAACCCCACCTCAAACCAAACTTTCCTGAACTTCCACCACCTGAATAGCCAAGCGTCAGAGGTCTCCCTTACCTCTTCCCTGACAGCCGAGTGCCAGGACACCATTGCCAAGGGCCTTCCCAGCACCTGAGGCAGAAAAGCCTTGGGACAAAGCTCTCCGCCCAGCCGGC